AAATATTGAAGATAGAATACTGTCTGATATGTCTGAAATATCGCACTTGGAACCTACGAAGTTATTCTTTTAGAAGCACAGTAAGTACAATAGTAGATGGAAGGGGAACCAATGCTTCTGTTGGTATCTGTTCCAAGGCTGAATCTGCGATGACTTCAAACCAAAGACGCATGCTGTAGTATTTTGTCTTTGCTATAGAAACGATAGTGAAAGAGCAAGGGCGAGAAGACAAACGCTGCTCTCTGTGCTCCAATCCTCGAACTGTCTGTATTTTTCTGGCTGGAGGGTGGGTTCAAAGACCTTATACTAAGAAGACTGAGCACTCTGTGGCGGCGCCTTTGATGTCGGGGAAACCTTATGCCCTGGTGGTTGACTCCAGAACTACGCAGAACTGACCAATGGGATCATTGGATTGGAATGTCGCATGAAGTATGACAGCTTCTGGATCCAAGTAATGCACCTACGCACCATATCAGGAGAAATTTGGTTAAATGGATGGAGATGTTCCGTTGCATTGGTTTCCCAAGGATTCGGAAAGGCACGCGCATGTGTTCACCTAGGGCTTTGCACTAGGCCTATGGTCATGACTTTACATATATGTAACAGGCGGATGAAGTAAAATGCTGAGTAACCTCAGTGACCCTAACGAAAAGGTAAAAATTTTCCCGTTTCGGATTGACAGGCCTGTTAGAATGGGATGACTTCAATTTTGAAGGGACAAAAACAGGCTGAAAATAATAATCTTGCAGCTTTGCTTTGGATTTCTAGCCTTATGTTCTTGGGGTCCAGTTGGGTTACAGCTGGCTTCTACTCGCACACATTGTTGCTGGCAGCTAAGCCAAAATGTTCTCGGCAATAGATGAGATTGCCATTGTGATTCAGCGATCTCCAGTACATGAAAATAATGCAGTTCGTAAATTAGCAAAAAACAAACTGATTCCTTGCTACATACATAACCTACGCAGCATGCATCGTCTTGCAATTCTGTCTGAATTCAAGAATTGTAGCACCCCCCACCCCCAGGGAGATCCTCCGAACATTGTTTTCCCAACTCCTCTCCATGGTCTTCCGTCAGCCATGTCAATCAGTCACGCGCAAAAGAAATGGCGTCAGACTTCGGGCGCAAATTCGTTCAAGAGACACTAGCGCTCTGCTCAAGGAAACGTTGACGCTAGTTCGAGGGCCAACCACCAGGGCATAGACCGCCATTGCGGTTATCCTGCTTTCGCGGAGTGTCCAGTCTTCTTAGTATAAGGTCTTTGGGTGGGTTCGTCCGCTATGGACTTCTCCATTCCTCCAGATGTCAACCACTTTGATAGAATGGAGAATACTTCTACCTTGAGTTTTGTCCGAAATCGCATTGCAGATCTGACGCAACGGCTGCGTCAAATGCTCTTTGTTCCCGATCTAATTCATTCCCATGAGAAAAACCTGCATGCTCATGCAAGGTCATCAGAGACAATGAGTGGCAAGGAGTCGTCTTGTAGAGGAGTGAATGGAGATGGAAATAGTGGAAGGTACGTGTCCTTTGTTGACTTCTTGGGAGGCTGCTCCACGTCATATCTTCATTTCCCACGTACAGGCTACCGTCAAGAACGAGAATGTTACGTCAGAAGCAAGGTGAATGAGATCCTCAGTCGCCTGCTTTGGTCGGGGATCATATCGCCTCCGTTTCAATTCCTCACCCAGTTGAATTTCCCCCGAAATGTTCGGTCGTGGGTGGTTACTGGATCTGCGGTTCCGTAGATTTCCTGAGATTGGAGCAACCGAAAAGGTGTTGCATCCACGGAACTGACAGGAGGGTCATCTTGCTTCTTCAAAAAAGCAGAGGATGACTGAAGCCTGAGATCGGACTCGCCATCGCTTTCTTTACAGTCTGGAATATCTGGAAGCATTGCAATTTCCAAATATTCAAAGTCAAATATTCGCTTACTTTTGCGTGGTTTTCCTCGGGCCAAATTCCTTTGCAATCTGTGAATGAGATCTGATTAAACTGTGCGTGGGAAAAAAAAACTAGATTCGTACCTTCCACAAGCATCTCACGTCAGATCGAGGACCCTCGATTTCTAAAGATATTCCATTTGCCAAACATAGGACACGTAGTCTGATCGATTCTGGGCCTCCTTCCTTGCAAGGCAGGTAGAAAGGAAGGGAGTCGGACACAAAGGGACATTTCTACAGTATATCATTGTCCGTTCTGCGTCTGCTCTGCAGGAGTATGAAGCACCCGCGATTCGAGCTATCGAGGCGGGATGTCCATGCTAGCTCTTTGCACGTGACTCACGGGTAAGCAAAAGGAAGCCTAAAGGAAACTGCGCTTAGCACATGGTATTGCTTTTTTCCCCCCTCGCTTTGATAACATGCTGCTTGTGTCTCACGGAGATAAATATGTTATTGAACGCTGGACCTCCTGGAATACTTCATCTCTGCCTCTGGAATGCTTCAGACTGTGAAAGCCAAAGATGGAAACGAATACGCTGCATTGCCAAAAGAGTTGGGACAAAGGACGATATGACGAGCAACTATCATTCCATGTTCAACCTCCGTCAGCTCCAATCCATGCGCCATACTGGCAAACATCGACTGTAACAGATTGCAGACAACCGTTATATACTTTAGGATTACGGTAATGCCCTCTACCACATGACCTCTGGGACAATCTGTTATCGGCGGAGAGAGGCTTGTCCCAGTACTTTTGACAATATAGTGTATATCGGCTGCTTGCAGTGCCCAGACAGATTATTCTATCAAATACGTACTCAAATGCGCAGTCCTTCAGAATCTGGCAACATTCTCGGAATAAATCAGCAAGATTCCACTCCATGAATGGGAACATTTCGATCAAGGTTTTTGTGAGTCGATGGAGTTGATTTTCGATGAAATTTAAAAACCAGGCCCGGATTGAGATTAAGTGCAACGTCTGCAGAAGTCTCTAAGCACTTCCTTTAAGTACTATAAGTACTACACTAAAACTTGCTTACTTGTCGCGAATAATTGTTTACCAAGTAGAAAAGTATCGGTCGACGCATGCTCTTCCCTTCGCGTCTCTCCCTCCTGATATACAGGGTGTCCATAAATTCACTTCCTATTTCAAAAGGCCCTATCTCCATTACGGAGCGGCCTAGGAACTTCATATTCGGCACAGATGATGTACAGCCAATGGGATTTATGATAGCCAAGTTTCCAAAATTTTCCAAAAAGTTTCTGGATATCACCACCAGGGCGGCGCTGTACCGGCCAGAGACACGGGTCCCTCCACACTATGGGAGACGCGTCCAGTCTCTTCTCCGACGTACTTTCCAGGACCGTGTGCTCAGCAGGGCTTTCCCACAGGCCTAGCCGCCAAGGTCACAGGATCTTACATCTGCGGACTTCTGGCTGTGTAGTTTCCTGAATCATGGCCGTGGGGTTTACAGTGGCCGTCCTGCGAACTTAGTGGAACTCAAGGAATGCATAGCGGCGCCATGCTGCGCTTGATTCTGACATTGTTGTCTGACTAATTACGTTCTGTTGTCTACCACTTCATGACATGGATGGAGGCGGTGGTAGTGGGAAGGGGTGGCCACATCGAATACCTACAGGTTTGGTCGTGCCATCCACCCGGATATCGGTATACGAGGTCTGATCAAAAAGTTCCAGTACTTTTATTCGTAAACTTTATTTTTAATAAGTACATTAAAATTAATTGTTGTCCCCTTCAAAGCATTCCCCCCTCGATGCTATGCACATATCCCAACGCTCCTGCAACTTCTGGAAGCAGTGCTGGAAGTCCTGGAGTGTGAGACTCTTAAGCTGCCTCGTCGCATTTTCCTTGATGCTTGCAATGTCTTCATTTCCCACGTACAGGCTACCGTCAAGAACGAGAATGTTACGTCAGAAGCAAGGTGAATGAGATCCTCAGTCGCCTGCTTTGGTCGGGGATCATATTGTCCTGGAGTGTGAGACTCTTAAGCTGCCTCGTCGCATTTTCCTTGATGCTTGCAATGTCTTCAAATCTTTTTCCTTTCAGGTGAAATTTAATCTTGGGGAACAGGAAAAAGTCACACGGAGCCAGGTCCGGTGAATAGGGAGGGTGAGGCACCACAAAATTTATTTTTAACTAAAAATCCTCGAATTGTGAGAGCAGTGTGGGCTGGAGCATTGTCGTGATGCAAAAACCAGGCATAATTTTGGAAAAGTTAGGGTCGTTTTCTCCAAATGTTTTCTCGCAGACGGGTCAAAACGTCTTTGTAGTAAGCCTGGTTAACTGTCTGACCTTGTGGGACAAACTCATGATGCATCAGGATCATGATGCATGATCGAAAATTCGACGAAGAGCACAGAGACGACCGGATTTCAACACTCGTGATTCGCGACTGGTTAATCCTAGCGCAAAGGAGTCTTCAACATGCGTGCGGCTACCCCCCCACTCCCACCTACACTAGTCCTAGCCCCGTACCTAAAGCAGTTTATTTTTTTAACAAGAAAGTACTGGAACTTTTTGATCAGACCTCGTATGTGCCGACTTTGGACTGTGTGTTTGGCCGGTATAGCGCCACCTTGTGGTGATTTCCATAAACTTTTTGGGAACCTTTGGAAACTTGGCTATCATAAATCCCATTGGCTGTACATCATCTGTGCCGAATATGAAGTTCCTAGGCCGCTCCGTAATGGAGATAGGGCCTTTTGAAATAGGGAAGTGACTTTACGGACACCCTGTATTTTGCATTATGTTTGGAGACAAAGGGGAGAGTTTGTTCACGAAGGTGAGGCGAAGAATTTGCAGCCCTTGAAAGGTCATGTTTTCCAGCTTTTCAAAGAGGGAAGCTTTCCTCTTATGTTTCTCATTCTTCGCGAATCACCCGCGATGGTGGCTGCGATCCTCTTCCTCCTGTCCATCCTCTTTGCCGCAGGAAGCTGGGGCTTCCTGCAGCGAAAACTCCGTCGTCTTCCGCCAGGTTCGAACCAGGGACAGATGTAAATCTTTACCGTCGTGTTTGAATGTGATCGTGAAATGGTCAATGACAGGTCCGATGAACCTTCCGATCGTGGGATGTTTCCCGTTCGTGTTCTCCAGGAAGCCCTTCTGCGAGAAACTAGGGGATTGGCACCGAAAGTACGGCAAAGTACTCTGGTGAGTACGATATTCATTCATTTCTAAAGTCGACCGGTCGACCGAGGATCGGGATCAGAGATGGGAGAGTCCAATCCGCGAGCGGGATTCCAAAGTGTGGCAGAAGGCGTGTGTGTCCTTGCAGGTGCAAGTTCGGGCTCTTCGACCACGTGGTGTTGAGCGACGCGAAGGACATGAAAGCCGCTTTTCAATCCAATAAATTCCTGGATCGACCAGACACCTTCCCCTATACTTTGCTCTCTATGGATCACACCCTCGGTACGTCTAAAGCTAGGATTTTTCTCAGATATCCAACAATGATGCCATAACATTTTCACCTTTAAGCGTTACATTCTCGAAAGATGAGTAACCGTGATGATAATTGTCCCGATTGCGATTAATAATTTTGTTTGGAATTTATGCAGACGTTGCTTATGATGTTTCATTTATGATGTCTTCGGCTCCTTCTAAATTTTTAAAAGCGCTTTTTGCTACTTTTCTGCAAAGGAATATCGGGTTCAAATGCAGAAGGTTGGAAGAGACGCCGACGTCTCCTCCTGCAAACGTTCCGTGACCAGGGCGTGGGAGACCAACGGGTGGAACCCATCGTCGATCGACAGGTGACTCCCCTGGAATAAAACTAAATCCATCCGGAAAATGCAAAATTTATTTTAAGACGTTTCCACTTTCAGATAGGATCCTACCTCGATCACCTGGAGAAAGAGAGGAGGAGAGGAGGGGGGCTACTGTTGGACGTGCAACTCAACAAAGACCTCACGAGCATCTTGAACGTTCTCGTCTTCGGTGAGAATTTGGAACTTTTTCCCTCGATCGAGCAAAGGCATAACCGAACCGTCGATGAGTCTGAAAGATGTTGCCGATGGCACGGACGCAGGCGGTCGTCCAAGCTTAGGTGTTCCAGACGGAATACCCGCGATGGATCCGCCGCTCGTGGCAAACGAAAATGAAGCATGTCCTCTTGTCTCCCTGTCTACATGGGAGACCTACAACTTCGCCCTTCACCTCGTCTAAGTTCATCTAATCCGTGCCCCCCCCCCCCCCCTCCTCAAGCAAGCGGCATCTTTCCAAACGTGGAAAAAGCACGATCCATCGTGATGACTTCGCGATACATTGAATTCTCTAGTTTATAATTAATTAAACGACTCTCAACGGTTGATCTTACGCCTAGGCTTCAACAGGCCAAAATGATTTACGGTTAGGTTCTTTACGACTGAATGTCCTCACGATGGAGAAACCGTCCTTCCATTTCAGATGATTTTAAAATTCGAGCTTCAAGAACTTGTCTCATTTCAGTCGAGCCCGATCGAGAGATAAAATGGGAGCTAGAATCTATGATTAAATTGGCGGAATTGCCCTTGTTGGATCAAACGAAGGGTTTTCACCGGAAAACGCATGATGCTTAGATTAAAGACAGCCAGCAGCTAAATTTATTGAGCAATTATTTCACATGTATTGTCTCTAAGTTTTCAGGCGCTGATTTAATTTGCAGATTCATCTGAAAACCTCTCTTTGTCTTATGGAGTTAATGAAGAAATCAAACTTTGCCCAAAACCCAGCAACTTTTGAAAAAAATTCTGCACGAACGTCCGCTAAGCTTCGCGTGACAGTTCTCCAGTTTAAAACAGCAAAAATAATGCCGTATAAAACATAGTCGTTACTATCCGTGCTGTCGCCTGTGGATGAGGCAGAGGATGGACTAAATTAAAAAACGAGAATTCCATGACAGGCGTGGAGAACCCATTCTCAAGCGAACAAGAGTACGAGAGTGCGATCCGGAAATTGGAAGAATTCCTGAACTCTGAGAACCACAACCAGTGGCTCGTCCTCAGTGCCATCTTCTTTCACTTGCCCAAATACTTGAAAGCGTTCGTGAGAGAGGATCTCCAAGCCTTTCAATCCTTCCTCACACGAATGGCGGTAAACAAAGATTTTTATTTTCTGTGTCTCGATTTCCCAAGACCGAGAAGACTGCGTCGCTATTCCATGACCTCCATTTTCGCCTCTCGTCATTTTATGAGTAGTTATGTTATTTTTCAATTAGTCATTTATTGTAATTTCGTTATCATCCGATTTACTTTAATATTTCTAGTTTTCATTGTTTCAAGATGTATTTCTTCATTTTTTTTTTCAAAGGAGGTGATATCCAGACTGCGTTGCACTTGGGCATCGAGCCCCGACGACACAGTGGCAGCTGCTTTCCTCGAGGACCTCCGCCATCGACAAGCCATGACTCCCGACCAAAAACGTACAGTATACTTCATTCTTTTATTTCTTGCCCGATCGTCGATCCGTGGGTAGACCCACGGAACGCAATGCATGCCGGGTTTTCGATGACTCAGTGAAGGAGCTATCGGGGGTCCTGCTGGATGCATTCGGATCGACGGTGGACATTTTACCAGGGACGGCCAGGTGGATCGTTCTCTTTCTCCTCCTCGATCCCGAAGGGCAAGACGAGATCCGTCGGGAAATCCTCGCCAACATCGGATCGCAACGCCGACCGACTTACTCGGACAGGAACAAGTCCGTAAATTTTCAATGGAATCGTTTGGTATCGATCGTCAACGAGACCAATCGATGCCATGAATTCACCTCAGGTTGCAGTTGTTACGTCGCAGAGACCTTTTCGATCGTAGCTCTCCAAATTTTACCTCTGGAAGACAGCTGACTTCAGATGCTCCATGTTTACTTCTTCGGCTTCCCTCTGAGCAGTTTTAAATTCACAACGATACTTGTTAGTCACGATCTGCAAAATCGGGAACCCGGTTTTGGCTCGCTCGATCCTCATCGGTTGCACTTAGGATCACGATTAAGTTCTTCAGAATAATTCCAGTTTCGGTCACAATGGAAAGACTTCTCTCTTGACGTCGCTAAGGCAAGTCTTTCTTACTTCTTGCATCTCGTCCTCGGCAGACTGCCGTACTGTCAGGCATTCCTGGAGGAAAGTCTACGACGAGCCAGCACGGCTCCGTTGGGATTCGATCACGTGGCCACCGAACACGCCCACATACGGGAATACCACATACCCAAGGTTAGCTTTTCTCTTTTTTTCCGAAAAAATAAGCCCACATCCGTATATTATCGAGAGAGAGAGACTTGGAATGAGCTCGTGTGACGTGACAGGGAACATCCATCGTTTCTAACATCCATGCCTACCATCACGACCCAGAAGTGTGGTCCGATCCGGAACGGCACCGACCCGAAAGGTTCCTGGACGAGTCGGGCAACTTCAAGCGTGGAGAATTCCCTGTCATCACTTTTGGCATCGGTATGAACCTCACACTTTCGCGTGTGTTCTTGCCGGTATACGTCGTCGTGTATGGACATCAGAAAGTTTTCTGCCATTTTCATTTGCAAATCGACTTGCAAAGAAAACTTTCGAAGTGAGGACGACTTCGAAAGCGTTATATGCAAAATTTCAATGCTCTGGGAGATTTCTCCGAAAGTTTTCCTTCGGTAACGTTTCTTTTGTAACATTCTTTCGCCGTCTACGCAAGAAAACTTCCTGGTGTGAACGAGGCCTATACGCCAACCATAACAAGCAGATCCACTGAATAATTACTATTTTGTACGTATGGTAGGCCTATTCGCGTCTGAGTACGTTAATGTGAAATGAAAATGAAAGCAATCGAGAAATTGTTTTTAGAGCAGTTGCAATTTACTATTATTGCCACTATGAAGGGAGGCGGTCGTGTCCAGCGGAGGTGATAAGCCGGGGGATTCTTTTCTCCTTCATGACGTCCCTTGTTCAAAGATTCTCCATCGACAAAGTGGACGGCGGATTCTACTCGACGGAGCCGAGAGGACATGCCCTCTTTCTCCGTTATCCGACTCCTTTCCTCTTCACTTTGAAAGCCCATCCATAAAGAGCAAGCTTTCTTCTTCGTTTTTAAATGACATCTATAGAGAGAATGCTCGTCTACTCCCCTACCTGTCCCCCTTTCTCTTCACTTTGAAAACATTTGTACGGAAATTGCTTCTCACTCACCTATCTCGTGGAATAAAACACTGGACGCAACGCTGAGTCATTCCTTCATGGTTTAAAGCTTGAACACAGAGCCATCGTCGCGAAACTCCTAGCAGGTCAGTGCAGAAACATGAGGGTCTTCCCAAGTGGTCCCGAGAGCCCTAGCATGAAATTTAATTAACTTTGTCGATATTGCCCTCCATACAAAAGCTAATTTGTAGTCTTGAAGGCATGAATGAATGAGAATATTCCTTTCAACAAAAAAAAGCGGTCGAGTCGAGGGAAGAAAGAAAGAGGGCGTTCGCCCACCAGCTCCAAGGACGTTTAGCCGCGTCTAGCCCTTCTAGCTCCTGTCTCACACATTCCCTATGACCCTGTCTCATTCCCCATCTTGTTAGGACACGAATTCAGCCATAGGAGGGCCATATGAAGGAATGGGAATGGGCTCAGGATTCCGAGGATACCCCATTGCTGTTTATTTATTTCTGTTTTACAATAGTATATTATTGAATATTTTCAAAATGCACCATCGGCAAAGACAAGTAGGTATACCAAACTTTGACGCCACCGAAATTGACCCCTTCCCGGCTTTGACTGTGTCTCCAAATCCGTTGCCCAACGCGTACGAAGAGTCCGAACCGGTCCGAACTCGTACTGCTCACTCCAACACGGCTCCCACAATCGCTACATATCAAATTGCCCCATAGCGGCTTTCCATTTATCTGTACTCGTATAGTTTCCTCGAGGCTCTTTAAAGCACACGGTCGTACGCCTTTTTCGAGATTCAAAAGAAATTTTATACATCTTCTGCATACTTCCAATGCTGCCCGAGAATCTTTCGGAGAGGGAAGAGAGAAAGCCACACTCCTCCTCCTGGATGGCTTTTTCGACGATTGCCAAAGCTTTCTTTTATAACCCTTTAGCAGAATTTACCAGGTATGCTAACAAGAGTGACACCACGGTAATCGGTGTTCTACATCGAGTCCCATCCTCGACTTCCCCCTAAATTCTTTGACGGGTACCGCGCTGCCTTGTCTGACGCACGATAGTCTCTTGCGAAGCGCATATGTATTCACAGTGATCACAATGTGACGTTTGCTTATATGACAAAACGCCATTGTTGACAGTGTATATATTCTAAATCGAGAAATGTGTGCTATGTCGATAATAATTACCGTGTGATGATTAAAAACGATTTCTTTCGGTCGAAGGGATCGCCTTCGAAACCCGATCGATAGGCCAAGAATCGTCGGAATCGAAACAATGGAACGTTCCACGATAAACGTACTTAGAATTAGGTTCCAGGTGAGGAAAGATGACCACGCGGAATGGAAGCAAGCATACCAAGTGGGACCTCGAACCCCTTTCGGCTGGATTCGAGGAAGACATTGAAACATTACTCCGGCTGTTCGAGCGGAAGAAATCCTTGCGATTCTCCGCCTTCAAAGAGGTCTGGCTCGAGATCTCCTTCGCTTGCGTCTTCTGGTAAGCGAATCCTTCTCCACAGCTTTCGCTCGAGTTAAGAATGAGTCACCCAAGAGTCAGGCATTTGGGTATTGTTAGCTGTCGCTGCTCGATCTAGCCCCATGAGTTCGTCTCCGGGATTCCAAGGTACACATGTGACAACTCGAAAATTTTGAGGCTCTGTAAGTACATGTTATGCCCCCCCCCACCCAAAAAAAACTATCCAAGGAGGAAAACAATGAAATAAATGTTGCCAACAGTCAGCCGAGTCGTAGAGAAAAGAGAATTAAAAACCGAAAGAATGTTCGAAAAGTGCATGAAATGTTGCAGAAGTGAAAGGGCAATACACTCGCGCGTAAAACGACCATGAGAGTTAAATCGGCTGGGATCGTTTACCAAAGGTCCTCCGAGGATTATTTGAGACATGAGACCGAATAGCGGTGAGCAACTCTTCACGCTTTGACGATCCAGGGGAAAATGTATAACTATGCGGAAGAAAGAGGAGGCAGTCGTGCGTCTAATTATCTTAGCGATGCCGTGGCATCCACATGCGTCGCAATTAAACGCGCCATCGAGAATGGAGGAACTTCGTCATTTAGACCTCACTCGGTGCAATCGAGTCATAGGCAATTTACGTAATGAAGTCATCGAAGACACGAATCGAGAATTCTCTGACGGTTCGAGCAGCGGGCGTGATACGATACTCGCCGAGATGAAATTCACGGAAGAGATCATCTCGATCGTCAAGAAATTTTGGCTCGAGCCTCACGGGATCGCTCGTCGGGTCGGCGCACAATACGCCCTCTTCGCTCTCTACTACAAACAACCCATCAGGCGAGTCCGCGACGCCTCGAAGCGTTCGCGTCTCGTCGGTGTCGTCTGAAACTTCGTTCGGGAAATCCTTAGGAACTACGCCAAGATCGGAGTGACGAAAGAGGAATGGCTCCGGATCGTGGAAATGGACGGGGTCCTGAAAGAAGGCGGTCACGACGATGCTAGGTTCCCCCTGCACAAACTCAAAAAGGACGGAGCCTTCCGCTTCCAAGCCACTCCCAGTCCTCCTCGACCGGTATGGACTCCACAAATTACACGGCTCAGTCAAATGAAAACGATATATATTTTTCTCGCAGTGAATGAATTATTTTCCAAAGTTTTCCCCACCATTATTGAGGCACAGATTCCAACGCTTCCCAATATTGTTTATAGCTGCTTCGTACAATTTTTGTGGTTGTTGTTCGAACCGCCATGTGACAGCCTCCTACAATTCATCGCCCGTGCGTAGACGCTATGCTATGCTGGACGCGGATCATGGTGTGAATTGAGCTGTGACTGACTCCCAAATCTGCAGTCGATTCATCCAGTGGAACGTTTCTGTTGCTCCGTAAGAGCTCGTCCCCTTTTGCGATCATTTCTGCGGCGGCATCGTTGACCTGACTTGGGCGTGAGTCATCCTTCACACTCTCGCGCCCGCGAGGAAACGTTTGCACCACTCGTATGCGCGCCGCCTTGATAAAAAAAAAGCTGTTGTCAACAGCACTCATTCGGGAATGGATTTCGATGGGTGACACCTTCAGAAATTGAGTTACAGCACGCCGGGCTTCCTTGGGCGCACGAGGCACTGCGAGCGCCATGTTACTTAAGCGATTGCTCTCTTCCTTCTGATCGCATGGTCTTGCCAGCTGAGACAGACATTCACGCTATCTCTGCAAACATACACTGAAAGTATCGAACGTCCATCAATAGGGAATCATTTTATATCGCGATTTTCTCGTTTTCCTTTGACTGACGCTCGTAAATAAAACTAATGAGACACCCTCGATATCGAGAATCACAGCTCACCCGTATCTACATCATCTCTCGATGAAGATGTCCATGAGTTCGTGTTCACGTCGGGAATCTCAAGAGGCTAGAGACGCATTGGATTTATTCGACCCGGATCGATACGACAGGGATTCCCTCCGGAACCTCTTCGGTATTCACAGAAAGTACATGGAATCCAAGAAGAAAATGACCGGCAAGTTTTCCTTCGTTACTCTACATTTTTTAAGTACTAATTTTTTACCAATAGATGACAAAATACAGAACGATGCCCTCGACTGAGAGCGACGCTGACGTTGGTCCCGACGAACCTGCTGGAACGGCTACGGAAGAAGTCGACCGGAGACCCAAACTTCGAAGCGTCATCGAGCGACTCTCCACGAGAAGACATCTTGGATGTGAAAGCCTCGGCCTCTGAAATGCCAGTCGAGTCTCACGCTGACGCTTCCATCGGTATGGCCCGCGCCCTTTTCCGACCTCATCCTTGAGACATTGCGAAGCATCGAGTGAGAATTCGTCGACAGGATCGATCCGCCGAGTCATCATCCGACGGGCGTTCTTCTCGAAGAGGCTCTCTGGACGATACGCCGAGATCGAAACGATCGCGGAACGAGAAAGGAAGGAACGAGCCGATAACAGGTATGAGCTCAAGTAGTCATTTACGAGTGTTTCTGGGCGTTGGATGAAAAAATGAACGAGTGCATCTCGAGAGGGCAATCCTCGAACTTCCAAAGTTGGCAAGCATAAATAGCGTTCTTTCCGTCTCACCCGATGGACATTTATTGAAGGGGGAAAAAAGTTATTACGGGAGCGAGGTGAACCCACGACCCCGTGTGAAGCGAGCTACTATTCAGTAGTTGGGAGCACAATTAGATCACAGGGTGATCTGCTAATTGGATATTTCTCGACTTAAGAAATGTGGAACGTGAGCGAATTTAGAGGGAGCAGCGGACCACTTCGTCGCGCAGGTTCGCTAGTTGGACGAACAAACGCAGCCTGCAATGTCCACAGACGCACCCTCGTAGCGCAGTAATTGGACAGATCTACTGGTCCGATACTGGGGCAGATGTGACCATTCGTATTCGATCGGAAAGGCCCTTCAAGTTGGAGTCGCTCGCACAAATACGTATGCAGGCCTTCCCGTAGAGAAATGAACTTTTCAGCCAATAGCTGAAACTTTTCTTTTTTGAGGAATCAGAAACGATTCCCTTGCTTCACGGAAGTTTTTCTGCTGTCCGACACGAGGCAGGAATTTTCCTGAAAGATTCCCATGCGATGGAAGATATCGAAAGGACGGTAAATTAATTGTCAAAGCGGTATTTCTCGCAGAAACACTCGGCACCGATTAATTATAATTTCGTTTGTCGAAAAATGTATCCTTTTCTTCCGTGAGGAACGCACTCGTAGTCCCCCTGCTACCATTCATTTAAGCATCCGCTTTGTCGACCGCTCATCTCAAGCGAGTGGGATCTCTGGTCGAGACAAACCGAGGAGCGTCTTCCCATCTTGCAGATCCTGGGCAACGGACTCGAGCTCAGCAAGTTGGATATGGAGCATCTTGTAACAAAGCTTTTTCACGCTCGTGCGCTTCAGGCAATTAGGTGCTCGTAGTTCTATTTCGGATCTAGCTCTCGCGTCTCGTACCGTCTCATCCTTAACTCGTGGAAATTTCACAGACCCCTTCCAGACAGTTTTCAACCAGCAGCCACGTAATTTCTTCAGCCGTGTTCTTAGTCGTGCTGAATATCAAGGTCCTAAAGTACGAAAAATGCATTAACATGGGGAACAGGCACCACATTTCCGATGTTCAATATTATATTATGTACAATCAACACATTCGAAATACGAGTCAGTAGACATTCATCGAGGCCATTTTAAAATGCTCAGTGCATAGTTATAATTCTACTGCACAAAATGAAAGTCGATCAGCTAACTCAGCAAGGTTAGATAAAAGGTAGGGCTGTCACGATTGATCGATGCATCGATACCACTATCGATAGTTGGAGATATCGATAGTTTTTTGCTGGTAGCGCTACGTAGCCGTTTCATAAAATTTCCCCTTTACAGGGTAACCTAACATGTTATGTCAGGCTCCGGGCAGGGAAAGGAAGAAGCGGCGTGATCCACATGGGCTTGCGATTTATTATCACAATCAAATTCCGGAAATGCCGGGACTGACTATAATTTTTCTCTTCTGTTTCTGTCTTCGGCTCGATCTCATCAGGTGCATGCTGCGGAAGTACTTATACGAGGTACTCCCTTGATTTCGAAACCTACATTGGTTAATCCCCTCTCAATATTCCTGTCTATCACTTTGGTATGCAGACTTAACTTTCTTAATTTTTAACTTGCCCTGGGGCATTTATCTCTACTTAAAGTGAACTCAAAGTGAATTTTTTACATGGACGTTGCTCATTCTGGGGCTGTATGGCACCAGCAGCAGGTTTCCTATGTGGCGTGCCGATGTCCAAAGACAGTGTAGAACGAAGAAAAAGAGAAAAAAAATTACGTGAACGGATCTTAGCAGCTGATTCTCAACAATAGGAAAGAATTAGGGCTGTTCTGATGCATCCATCGATGAATGGATGTCATCTTCGATAGTTGGAGGCATGGTAGGTTTCATTACTGTTTGCGAAGGTCACACATTCCCCCTGCACCCCCGATCACAAGCGTGAGATAATAGAAGCCGGATAGAGGTCCGCGCTCCGATCGCGGCGAGAAAAGATGGAATACTCTACTCTGGCCCCCCCCCCCCCC